TCGGTTGGTGACCGGGTATTCTTTCAAAACTGGGAAGGCTCGCCCAAGGAGGAGATCAGCACGCAGAAGAAGGTCTGGAAGTCTACACAGCCTGGTTTTAGGACGACAGATGATCTCGGGATCGAGTTCTTGCCCTGGGAAGCGGGTCTCGTCGGCCAACCTGGCAGGTTGGTCACGGACAAGGGAGTGCCGTGTACCGTCCGTAGCCTGAAGGGAGCTGAAGTTCGGTGAAGATCCGACGGCAGTAGCTTGTTTGTCCGCGCTTCACTCTTGACCTCTTCCACTCTTCCGAGCCGGCGACGACTGTCAAAGCCTTGTTGCATGCCGCAGCGACGGCAAAGTCCGGGGGAGGTAGAATCCGGTCGCGAGCAGTGAACATGGTAGCAGATAGGCAAAGATAGCATTCAATCTACACACTTCGTATTGTACTAGAGTTAGCTATACCATCCAAGTGCCCTGCGCAAAGTGCAGGCTCCGCTATCCGAAACATCCATTCATGCTCCTCAGCCCGCAATTGCTCCTGCGCTTTCTTGAATCGATCGGAAATGGTCACCCAGCTCGCGGCGTAGACGACGGTCCTGAAGCAAGCTCCGTCAGCCGCTTCGCCGAAGCCGCGCTCCAGAGCGTCCTGCACGATCGGCCAGTGGACGAATCCCAGTTCTCGGACCGACTCCTCCGTCAAAATCCGCCGGAACATGAGATGAAGCGGACCACCCTTGGCCCATCGGATGGGCGCGAGAAACATGACCTTCCTGCGTCTGTACATGTCCTCCGACACAAACGGCCGCACCGCTTCACGCAGAATCCATTTTTCGGTGACGGATCGCAGGCCAGAACCCGACCCCTTCCACCAGTAATCGTCCGCGTTGCCCTGCGCAAGGCCCTGGCTCTCGTCTGGCGAGTACCGCATCTTGACGCTGGGCGGCAATGCATTGACATGCTCCGCGAGGTGGTGGTCGAGAAAAGGGGGCCGCCCCTCTATGCTGTTCCTCATCTCGGACCGATCCCCTAGACCAGTCAGGATGGTGTTCGGCAGCAGCGTCTTCGTCCACATGTACAGCGACCTATGGAGCGGATGCCAGCGCTCCATCTTGTCTTTGGCGGCGAAGAAGGAACGGAGCCTCGAGCCCGGCACGGATCCCCGCGCGGCGAGCACCCAGTCGGAAAATATCCTTCCCTGCGGGAACAGCGAGAGCACTGCGGGAAGCGTCAGGCCGCTTTTGAGATCCAGTCCTGCATCCTGCGGCGCATCTCCAGACCTTGCGGTTTGACTATGTCCGTCAGTTCGGAAATCACGCGCGACTGCAGCGCCCGCCGCAGGCCGTCGTCAGCTAAGACCGAGCCGGCCACGCTGTGGTCGGCCTCTTGCAAGAAATCTGCGGTGAAGTAGGAGTAC